TGCATTTAACACCGATTTCGGCAAAGCTACGCTGGCTGGTCTAAAGCTTTGTCTACACTGGGAAGGTTTGGCAATGAAAGTGTTGTTAGAATGCAAATGGCGCCAAAAGTGAAAACTGCTCAAACCCGTTTTTCTGCCTCCCATTGTTGACATTTCATGGCCGTGTTGCTAGGTCTCCCGTGGACAGAGCAAAGCATTGTGGGTAAGCATCCCATAGTGCAGTGTGAAGGGAAGGCAGAGCTGAACCCTGTGCTTCTTGGGATTCCCTGGGAGCTCTCTGTGCTGAGGAAAGCAGCACCGCCGTCTCTCCAGCCTGCCTGCCGCTGTGCTCCTAGTAGGGCAGAACAGGAGCACACCAATGATTTGCTTTTTGTATGTTCCCCCTAGGGAGCAGCTCCCTCCGCTGTCAGACACTTCCTGGAGCTTTGAAAGGGGGGGGTGGCGGCATGTGCCTTCAGGGCAGCAGAGATCACAAGTCACTGAGCAGAGCCATCAGGCCAGGCATTGTGAGATACTGGTGGAAGCTTGTTCTCGTGACAAAAAAAAAAAGAGTCCACCCTGGCTCTTTGCAGACAATAAAGGGAGGGGAAAAGACAAAAGTCTCTGGCAGGACTGGAAGTTTTTTGTCGCCAAAACCAGGTGTTTTTCCCAACAAAAGTTGCATTGCAGTGTAAACGCTCACGCTGCTTTGTCCCCAAAAGGTCGGGGTTGGCGACAAAATGTGCCAATGTAGACAAGGCCTCAGCACCCAAGAAACTCTCCCGAGACAGTGCCTGTGTTCTAATGTGGAATGAGGGCTGCAGCTTCCCCACCCCTCCTACAGTCAGCACAAGGGCCCCACTTCCGGTGCCCTGCTTCCCACCCACCTGCTTTCAGATGGGGGCTCCTCCTTCCAGGGTCCCCCAAATCCCCTGCTAAATCCAAGGCTGGTCCATTGAATCCCATCCTGCACCCTTTTGCTGGGGGGGGGGGAGACTGCAGAGAGCAGAGCACAAATGCACCATCCAGAAGGGCAGCCCAGGCTGCCACCGGGTGCCGGTGTATCAGGGCCCTTCACGCTTAGCTTTTTTCATTTGTTCCCCAAAAGAAGCAGCTCCCTCAGCTGTCAGACACTTCCCAGAGCTTTGAAAGGGGAGGAGGCATCTGCCTGCAGGGCAGCAGAGATCACAAGACACTGAGCAGAGCCTCAGTTGTGCCAGTATCCACAGGGGGCAGCTGCAGGGACTCCCAGGCCTAGGCGAAAGGAGTGTGATTCGCAGCTTGGCCTGGAGGTGGCGCCCTTGAGCTGCAGCCACTGATTTCAGTGACAATTCCTTGTCCTGGACATGGCCCTCAAACCCGCAGCCTCCCTCACTGGTGCAAAAGTCGCTGCGCTCCCAGAATCCTTTGCGGGCCTCCCTCATGCACAAAAGATTTACATGGTGCCCCTGGCACCTCAGGAACAGGGTTAGGAGCTGATTGCTCAGGGAACTGGCACAGGCATGGTCCAGCTCCACGGTGGGCGCCGGTGCTTGGGGCTGTGGCGTAAGATCTCAATGGCTCCGCTCTCAGAGTCGAATTCTCCCAGGCCAGGGCTCACTCTGCAGCAGGGGTGGGCAACGTGCGGCTCATCGGGGCTCCACCTGCAGCCCGCTGGGCCCCTGGCTGCCCCCCTTTCCTCCCGCGCCTCTCGTGCACTGTGGCGCCAGAGCCCTGCACTCCCTCCGCCTTCCCTTCCAGTCCTTTCGGACCTGCTGCAAATCGCCTGAATCGCACTGTGCCTGTGCGGCTCCCCTCCTCCCTCCCAGAGCTGAAATGCCACGAAACAGCTGTCCGCCACATTCCAGCTGGGTGGGAGGGGGAGGCGCAGGGAGGGAGCGCGGTCCGAATGTGGGAGGGAGGAGCCGGTGAGTGTGGGGCTCTGGTGTCCCCGTGCACGAGAGGCGCGTGGGAAGGGCAGACGGGGGGGGGAGGCCAGGGCCACAGGTGGAACCCCTGTGAGCCACCAGCTGCTGCAGCCCACTGAGGTGAAGGAGGGCCAGACATGCGCCCCCCACCCCTTTAATTGGTGGTCGCCCATCGCTGCTCTACAGCCAATAGATTCACAGGGTGCAGGGAGAGGAAGAGGCAGCCAGTCAGCGGCCAGGCGCCCCAGTGCTCAGCCCAGCGGAGGCAGCTCCATGCCCAGAGTAGGGACTGGAACTGGCTGGGGGGGGAGGGGGAGGGACTCCCGTTCTGTGAAAAGTGGAGCCGTTTTGAGAAAAGCGCCCTCCCGGAGCGGGGTGATGGAAAGCGGGTTTCAGGCAACATCGGGGAGAACGGAGATGGAACTTTTTGGCTTTCCAGCACCGGCCAGGGCAGGTTCTTGTTAATTTCATATGAAACTGACAAGTGCCTTCTTGCTCTGCTGCTGGAGAGGCCCAGAAGCCCCACAGCAGGGCTTCCCCAGCTCCAGGGGACCCGCCAGCCAGTGCGACGAGTCAGGAGCGGGCATGGGGGTAATAGGTGCCTTAAGACAAAGGCCCCAGTATCCAGGCTGTCGCTGTAAAATTGTGACCCCTGGCATCAGGGAGGTGCTACTTGTCCCACGGAGCTAGGGAGCCCTGCTCTTTGCTTCTCCAGCCGACATTTGGTCAAGTCTGTGCCTGGTTCAGCTCAAGTTTTCCTTCTGCTAAACCAAGCTGGGATAGTAACACTCGGCTTTCCATGGAAAGTTTCTGATGCACTCTGCCCAGGGGGCCTGCCTCCTGCTCTAACCACTAGGCATTGCTTTTGGGGCTGGCTAGGCCTAGAACCTGGGAGCCTTAAGGGCTAGTCACTAAGCCACCTGCCCTCCCGCAACAGGCTGGCCCAGCAAGCCCTCTGGGCCTCACCAGATATTGATCACTAATCCATCAGGGCCCCAAAGATCCCAGATTTTGACGGTTAACGCAGGATTCCTCCTTTTCAGCCACTTGGAGGGGGCTTCACGGAACCCGGCCACGGGGCATCCAGGGTCCGGACTCGCCCTGCCTTGGGTGGATAAAGGGGGCAGGGGCGTGTACCTTTTGTCCGAAGGGTACAGCTCCACCGTCAGCACGTCCAGGGCGTTCCAGGAGGCGATGCTCACCCCCCCGAAAAGGCAGAGCAGGGCGATCATGGCCGACTCGCTGTTCCCGAACGACAAGAAGAAGCAGCTGATGCACGACATCACGCTGGAGCCGGCTGTGCCAAGACGAGGAGAGGTGAGTTAGGATGGGGATGGGGGGGCGGGGAGGGTGTATTGGCCTCCCAAAAACCTGAGCAGAGCCAGCATCCTCCGCCTCCTCCCCGGCGTGAGAATATCTCCCCTGCATCAACCTCCATCGCCTCCTAACCATGCCCAACCCCCTGCCACCTCCCTGCCCTCCCCACCATCGCTCGCTGGCTTCCTCTTTGCTCCTCCACAATTCTGCCAGGTCCTGACTTCAGCAGGGTTCCCTATTGGCCTCCCAAAAACCTGAGCAGAGCCAGCATCCTCCGCCTCCTCCCCGGCGTGAGAATATCTCCCCTGCATCAACCTCCATCGCCTCCTAACCATGCCCAACCCCCTGCCACCTCCCTGCCCTCCCCACCATCGCTCGCTGGCTTCCTCTTTGCTCCTCCACAATTCTGCCAGGTCCTGACTTCAGCAGGGTTCCCAGCTACAAAAGGCAGCAGGGGCACGGGGCTATGGAGGTTTCCCCTATGTGCTGGCTGGGGCGGAGAAGGCTGGATACAACTGCTCCCCCTGGACCAAGAGGATCTATTCAAGCATCAGCCAAGGAACGACAGAGCCGGTTGGGAGTTTCAACTCAACATTTTGGGGGGGAGGGAGGTTGGAAAATGGATTCATTGAACCTGCTTGTGGGAAAGGATCAAGTCTGGTGCACGGCCCATTTCGAGCCATTGCGGGTGGGGCGGGGGTTCAGTTTTTCCATTTAAAACAACTTTTTTTCCCTTTCGAAAGGTTGGTGATTTAGGATCAAAAGAACCCCGCTATTCTCCAAAGAGGTAGAAATTGAAATGAAACGCTTCGAAATAATGGAGACACAATGGATATGGAAAGAAAATATTCAGATGCGCAGGTCAGGACAAGTTTTGAGATTTCAAATTTTCATCCTGATGCTGGATGAGGGAAAACTTTGACATCTCAAAAATTTTCACAGGCTGGAGAAATCTTTCCTTCCCAGCTCTACCAAAGAGGGGTGAGACCCTTTCTGGCCAGCAGGGGAGAGCTTCAAGCCATAGGGGAGCTGGATTTAAGAGGGGAGGGAGTGTGTCAGTTTTTGCTCCTGCAGGGTCTATGTGCCAAAGGAACAGACTATCCCCACGCTGCCACCATCACTAACCCCCAGCAGCCTACAGGCAACATCCGCGCCCCTCACCCAGCATCCGGAGGCGCCCGATCTTGTCCATGAGCAGGGCCGAGACGATGTTCCCCGGCAGCACGGCGAGGGTGCCCAGGAAGCTGACGAAGTAGATCATGTAGGCATTGTTGTCATCGCTGAAGTCCAGCTGGCAGCCTTCTTTGTTGTGCAGGAAAGTGCTGTTGATGATTTTGCTGTTGATGAATTTGTACTCGAACAGGTCTGTGGAGAGGGAGAAGAGACGCCAGGCGTGGCCTTGCATTGAGCTACAGAGCGATTTGCAGGCCCTTTGCCCTTCCCGCTATGCGATTCGGAGGGCAGGTGGGACAGTTTTGTATATTTTTTGGTGGTGCCCAGAATGGGTCCAACTCATCCCCCCCCCACACCTGCCTTGTAAGCCGATACATATTTTTTTAAATAATGTACACATGGATTAGAAACAGTAAACATTTTACAGTTTCCCTATATTGTACAACGTCACTATCACAAGAAAAAAATAATTTACCTACGAATATCAACTTGGAATATCAAAAGTGAATAAGGAGAAGTTATTTACTTGTTCCCATAACATGAGAACGAGGGGGTCCCCAAATGAAATTAATAGGTAGCAGGTTTAAAATAAACAAAAGGAAGTTTCTTCTTGCAGTGCACAGTCAACCTGTGGAACTCCTTGCCAGAGGATGCTGGGAAGGCCAGAACTTTAACAGAGTTCAAACAAGAGCTGGAAAAATTCATGGAGGTTAGGTCCATCAATGGCTATTAGCCAGGATGGGCAGGGATGGTGACCCGAGTCTCTGTTTGTCAGAAGCTGGGAATGGGTGACGGGACAGATCACTTGATGATTCCCTGTTTCTGTTCACTCCCTCTGGGGCACCTGGCATTGGCTGCTGTCGGCAGACAGGGCACTGGGATAGCTGGACCTTTGGTCTCACCCAGTCTGGACATGTTTATGTTCTTAACCTGTGTGGAATGAACCTTGTTATGCGCACCGATACGGAGGTGAGGTGTGGCCCATCGCCTCTGCACTGGTGCACATTGCAACATGAATGGGGCGGGGCCGAGGGGTTCGGGCTGTGGGAGGGGTTCAGGCCTGGGGAAAGAGGGGTGGGCTCTGGGGTGGGGTGAGGCTGGGGATGAGGAGTCGCAACATGGCAGCCCCACGGCAGCACCAAGACAGCGGCTTGCCTGTCATAGACAGAGATGCTGCAGGGTGGGAGGCATATGGGGGAGAGACCCAGCTCTGTACTAGGGGGCAGCTAGCCCTCCAGGCCCTGAATACAGTCAGAGCACGGGCACCATGGCACTCAGCACCCCTAAATAGGCAGATGCGGCTACCTCTGAAGTGGAACGTGGCTGCAGTTTAACGACCACACCGCAGCACTGCGCAGGGCTGCTCTCCCAGCTCTGCCATGCAGCCACCTCTAGGGTGGGGCGCAGCTGCCGCTCAGTGGATGGACAGCCCCACGGCGTGGGCTGTGTTCTCCCAGCAGCCAAAAGCAAACCCCTTCTGCTGTGGGACATGGCTGCTGTCTCTCACTGCCCCACCGCTGTCACCCACCACTGAAAAGCAGCCACCTCTGAGCCAAAGCGCGGCAGCTGTCTAGTGGCTACACACCAATGTGTTTGCTCACTTCCCCCCGCCTCCCCCCGAAATGCAGCCACCTCTGAAGTGGAACACAGCCGCTGTGTAACAGCATGCAGTGGAGGTAATTAACCAAGGGGGAACTCGATGAGGACTAGCCCCTTTGCATCTTGCAGGCAGCCCAGGGATTCTGAATCCACGTGGACAGATGAGCCCCTTGGGTCTCTAGGTCCAACTCCACCAAAGGGCGGGCAGGGCAGAGGTCCCCAGGGGTCCTATGTGAGATCGCATACCAGGCCAGCACTGGAGCGGCATCTGTCCCAGCTGAAGATGGCTTTTGAGGGGGGTGGGGTAAATTGATCGGCTGTTTGTTTCCCCTTCCACAGCATTTGTGGATGCTTTTCCGAAAATATGTGGGTTGGCAGCACCAGCTGCCTCATCTCTCATTGTCTGCGGCTCCCCTCCCATTGCCCATCCGCATCTATTCAGTGCTGAGTCACCATGAGGCAGCTAATTAGCACGGCGCAGAGGATCTTTAGCAGCTGCCTCGCCGCTAGAGCAGCAATTTTGAGGGCAGGGTGAGGGAAAGAAGGCCCGAAAACAAAACAGCCCTGGCTCAATCCTGCAGGGCACCGGCAAACCGGAGCCTGTTTGTTCCCCCGACTCTCTGGTCGAGATGCTTCCCTCCACCAGAAGATCAACTTCATGCCACTTGTGCTCCCTTCAAGGGACCCCCAATGCAGCATGTGTAGCTGCACTGGTTAGGCTAGTGAACACAATTAATCATCCTCATGCTCCATGGCCCAAGCGGACCACCAGCAGAATGGTCAGGAAGGAACCTCCCCTGTGAACTATTAGGGAGGAAGCGCTAGTGCTGGGGAGTTCAGCCTGTCCTGAAGGGCGTGTGTCCACACCGCAAACATGGGGTCTCCTTCACACGGGTGAGCTCGCCTGGGTTCCAACTGCAGTGAAGACATGGCAATTTGGCTCCACACTGGGCTTAGCAAGCCTAGACGTTTGAATATGAGCTGCTGGCCCAAACGGCCAGCCTGACGCAGCCTACCCGGGTTTGGAACGCACCTTTGCAGTGCAGACATACCCGAAAGCCGGAGAGGCAGTGTGGCCCAATGGCCAGGGTACTGGCTTAGGACCAATGAGCACAGGATTCTGTTCTACGTTGCTGCGCTTATCCATTGTCTAGTTCATCTCTTCAGAGCAGGGAGAGTCTCTCGTGACATATACACCCAGCACCGGGGCCCAGACCAGGGTTGGCTGCTACGGTAATGGTGTTACAACAACTACGCCGCCAGCAGAGATGAGACAGGATTGCCTAATGTGTGGCAAGGTGCTGGGGCCGCTTATTCGCTCTCGGCTGTAGACAGACTACACAGGCCTTACGGGTCCAGACTGACCTGTGGCCGGGGCAGCAGGACGGTACCTGTGTTGTAGAAGACGGTGGAGATGAAGGAGCAGTTCCGGAAGAAGGTGTTGCTGGAAGTGATGTCTTCAAAGTAGCACTCCTCAAAGAGGGAGTCCTCAAAGGAGACCGATTTCAGCTTGAGGCCGATGAACCTGCCGGTTATGGAGACTGGGACTGAGTGACCCAACAGGGACTGGGTGGCCCTCCATCCCAGGGGGAAACAGATGGTTGCTGGACCTGCTAAGCCAGACACGGGGTGTTCGGAGACCCCTCAGTGCCCGGAGTTGGGTGGGTCTCGGGTCAGTCCCTGTCGGATGAGGTGCCATGGCGGGGAGTTAAATAAGGCCCTGCAATTGGCCCAGCAGGGAACTCAAGGCTTACGTGGAGGATGGAGGTCCTAGGGCATCAGTGTGTGACGGGGTGAAGGTCACGCTTGCCCTGTTGACATTGTGCTCTGGATGCACCATGGATCCCAACCTCAAGGCCACATTCCTGATGAGGTTCTGGCTGCCCTTCCCCCAGCACCTATTTATTTATGCAGACGCATGCACACACATGTGCACGGACACATGTGTGCACACATGCACACGTGCATGCACACACAAGTGCATGTGTGCACACACATGCATGAATGCACGAAATCGTGCACACAAACACACGTGCACGTGCATGCAGGCACATGCGTACACACACATGAACACACATATTCATGCACACACGTGCGCACACACATGCATGCAGGCACACACCTCCTCTCACTCTGGCCAGGCCAGCCATTCCCCAGCACAGAAAATGGCAACACCCTTCCCCCCTTTCTTTGCACCCATGGGGCCATGTAAGAGCAGCCCCACCCCGGTGTCTTTCCCCTGCTCAGTACAGGGATGCCCGGTTGCTTTCCACGAGCACAGCCCCGCAGCAGCTCGGCCCATCTCCCAAAGCTCAAGGAGGGCGCGTGCTGAGTGCCCCCGGGTGGGGAGGGACGGCCCGCCACTCACTTGTCATTGAAGTATTGCCCATCGCGGTGGATCTGGTTCTCCAGGGTGAAGTTGAAGGTGAAGTGCTCCACCTTCTCCCGGGTGAAGAGCTTGGTGCGGGAGGCGTATTCGATGTTCTGCAAATGCTTGATCATGTCTGGGAACCAGACGGTCAAGCCGTAGTAACTATCAGAGACAGCAAGCGAGAGATCAGTACTGACTGTCTGTAGTGCCAAGTCACGAACCAGGACCCCCCTTGAACTAGGAGCTGTTCATTGTCTAGCTATTAGGTGTATTACGGTAGCACTAGGACCTTAAATCATGAGGCAGGAGCCCATTGTGCTAGGAGCTGAACATAGTTATTGCTACTAGGTGCATTACGGTAGCACTAGGACACTAAGTGATGGGGCAAGAGCCCATTGTGCTTGGAGCTTTACATAATAATTGCTATTAGGTGCATTACGGTAGCACTAGGACCCTAAATCATGAGGCAGGAGCCCATTGTGCTTGGAGCTGTACATAGTTATTGCTACTAGGGGCATTATGGTAGCACTAGGACCCTAAGTCATGGGACGGGATCCCATTATGCTGTATGTAGTTCTTCCTATTAGGTGCAAGGGGCTGCCTGGGACTGGGGAATCCCCCCCTAAATCTAGGCTCAGGCGGCGGTTGTCTGCCATCCAAGGCTGAATGCAAACCAGCCACCCAGAAGCTCCATAGTCATCCCCTAGCATGGGATGCGCCTGGCTCCGTGTCCAGGAAGTTGGGCTCCGTTGAGTATCCAGAGCATGGGCCCCCCGTGGCATGCCGGGCCTCCACACACCAGCTCCTGAGCCATTGAGATAAGCCTCCAGCTGATGGTAGTATTGGCTAAACCACTGCAGGAAGATGGATATTGGGTGGTCAGAGAAAAAGAGGGGAAGGAAGGGGAGAAAGAAATGGTCTCTCCTGCAGGGATTATTCTCTGCTATCGGGAAAGGCAGAGTCTCTGCCCTGAGATCCCTGAAACCAACAGCCGTCCTGTGGCAACTTAGAGACTAACACAAATGTAGATAGAGTGCCAGGAGCTTTCGTGGGCACAGCCCACAGCTCATCATCTGCGGAAGTGGGTCGTGCCTCCTCGTTTTTAAAATAACAAACAAACACGGGCACCCCTCTCAGACGGCGAGCCACGGTTTCAGGACCAAGGACAGCGACTAGGTTCAGAAAACAGCAACAGAAATGAGGAGGGGTTTGGAACGGGTCCCATATGAAGAGAGATTAAAAAGACTTGGACTTTTCAGCTTAGAAAAGAGGCGACTAAGGGGGGATAGGAGAGAGGTCTATCCAATCATGACTGGTGCGGAGAAAGTGAATAAGGAAAAGTGACTTACTTATAATATAAGAACTAGAGTCACCAAATGAAATGAATAGGCAGCAGGTTTAAAACAAATAAATGCAAGTTTTTCTTCACTCAGTGCACAGGCAACCTGTGGAACTCCTCGCCAGAGGATGTGGTGAAGACTAGGACTTGAACAGGGTTCAAAAAAGAGCTAGATAGATTCACGGAGGAGAGGTCCCTCAATGGCTATTAGCCAGGATGGGTAGGAATGGTGCCCCTGGCCTCTGTTTCTCTGGAAGTGGGAGACAGGAGAGGGATCACGTGAGGATTACCTGTTGTCTTCCCTCCCTCTGGGGCATCTGGCATTGGCCATTGTTGGCAGACAGGACACTGGGTCAGATGGACTTTTCGTCTGCCCCTGTGCCCATTTTTATGTTCTCATGACTAGGAGCCAGCATCTTCCTTGATGTCCTTCCCAAGGATGCAGGTCAATAAAAATGCCAGGAATACAACCCAGGAGCGGCCAGGCTGGGTCAGACCAAAGGCCCATCTAGCCCAGTGTCCTGTCTGCCGATGGCGGCCAGCACCAGGCACCCCAGGGGGAATGAACAGAGCAGGGAATCGTTGAGTGATCCCTCCTGTCGCCCATTCCCAAACAGCGGCCAGGGACACCATCGCTGCCCATCCTGGCTAGTAGCTATTGATTCCTGGCTCCTAGCCCTGCACTCTAGTCCCTGGAGCTGTTTCCCAGAACCCAGGAGTCCTGCTCCTCCCCCAGTCTCCAAACGGAGTCCCTGTCAGCCGGTCCCTCCCTCGGCCGACGTGTGAGCAGTCCGCATGCTCTCCTCTTCGCTGTCACAGACAGACACAGGAGGCTGGGCAGCCTGGCCAACCCGGCTGACGGGGGTGGGGTTTGACGTGCTGTGACCCGCCCCTGTCTGCTTTGGGCTGGGTTCCCAGCGCCCTCTGACCCAAGAGAACCCGGTGGAACCGAGCTGCCCTGGAGCCCAATTCTGGGTGCTAAACTCTGGGAGGCTTCTCGGGCGCGGATGGCGATCCCTCACGTGATGGGCAAGCCCCCGCCTCTCTGCTGGCGACGGTGCCACAGTCCAGCACAAAAGGTTTTGCGTTGTCTGCCCAGGCTTCCCTTTGCATGGGTCCTTCCTAGCAGAGCCATGCCCGGCGGTGGGCGGAGCGGCCGGGCGCGGGGACACCCAGAAAGTCAAGGAGTGCAGCAAACAGCCCTGCCCCCTCTTCCTCCCCCCCACACCTCCGCCCAGCCTCTCTGACTGCAGCTAAACCCAGCGTGAAACCCAGCTCGGGAAATCGCAGCTGTCGCAGGGGAGGGGGGCGGAGTCTATGAACGAGACAGATCTCACACTGCGTGAATAGCATCTGGCAAGGAAGCGCGGTATTGATTAGCCCCGAGCTGGGGGCTGGGGGGCAGGGCTCAGTGCTGCACTGAGCGGGGGGAGTGGCAGACTGGGTGGGGGGCAGGGGAACACGGTGGGAGTCTGGATTTTTTAGCGGGGGACTGGGGAACACAGGAGCCACAGCCTGGGGGGGATCCTGGCTCGTGGGGAGGGGGTCAGCTCATTGGTTTGAAGTCAGCCGGAACAAGGGACATGCGGTGCCGGAGCGTGCTGTGTGCCGTGGTGGAGAGGGGGAGCTACCGCCAAGCAAAGCTGCCCAGAGAAACAGGGCCAGCAGGGCCTTTGTGGGCAGCAATAGGCCAGGGAAAAGTTGGATTGGGGGCCGCCTGGTGGATCGGATCTTCCGAAAACAAGGAGGCTGGAGGGTCGTGGTGGGGACTCTCAGATTCCTGCCCTCTCTCTCTGCCCCACCAAATTTTTCTGGGGTAGTCAAAGCCAGAGTGCCAGATGCTTTGGAGAAGATCCAGAGAAGAGCCACACAAATGATTAACGGTCTAGAAAACATGAGCTAGGAGGGAAGCCCGAGGGCAGGGCCACACTAGGAAACTCTCAAAATAACTAAATTCGACTTAATAACTCCCCATTTTACAAAATCGAACTAGCGTGTCCCCACGACGGGGAAGCCTCAAGAAGAGTCCGAGGCAGGCTCCCTTAATGTGGATGCGCTACCTCGACTCAGAGCCGCAGGAAGGCCTGGGGAGTAAATCGTTCAACTTACTCTGGGGAGTAGTAATTTCAAAATTGCGGCACCAGCCCGTCCACCCTCCCACTATTTTGAAATAACTATTTCGAAATTAGCGTTATTCCCCAAGGAAAGCAGGAGTACAGATTTCAAAATAACCAGCCCGTTATTTTGAAATAACGGGCATGGTAGTGTAGACACTCCATTTATAAATTTGACCTAACGGGGGGTTATTTCAAAATAGACCAGGCCTGAAAGAAAAGAGGAGACAGAGGGTGTGGCTACACTTCCCTGCTCTTCCAGAAAAAGCTACACAAATTCTTTTTTCGGAAGAGGTTTTTCCGCAATTTGGCCCGTCTACACTGGGCCGAATGTCGGGAAAAAACCCTTTTTCAGAACAGCCCGTCTTCCTCATAAATCGAGGTTTACAGGGATGCAGAAAAAGCGCGTCTGCTCTTCGGAAAAAAATTTCGGAAGAGAGACGCATTCCCTGGATGCGGCAGAGTTTTTCCAAATTTGGAAATAATGTGCTATTTCGAGACATCCCTTAACCCTCGTGGAACGAGGGTTACCGAAATAGCGTGCCCGTTATTTCAAAAAATATTTTGAAAGAACAAGCGGCTTGTGAAGACACAGGAAAACTATTTCAGGATACCTCCAGTATCTCCTGCACTGTAGATATGTCCTTGGAGACTAACCAATACATTAGATCACGAGCTTTCGTGGGCAAAACTCACTTCATCAGATGAGTAGGAGTGGAAATTACAGAATCCAAGATATATATATATAACAGCAAAAGCAGGCAGCATGGGTAGTGGTTGGGACAGAGACTCAGGATTACTGGGTTCTCTTCCCAGTTATACATGGAGGCTACGTCTACATTGGCATCCCTTTCCGGAAAAGGGATGCTAATGAGACGAGTCGGAATTGCAAGTCCGCGGGGGATTTAAATATCAAGTACTTGAAAGTAGGAATAAGAAATCCTCCGGAAAAGGGCTTATTTTCCGAAGAATCGCGTCTAGACTGGCGCTTTTCTCCGGCTTATCCCCGGCAGCCATGTAAATGCAAATGCCGCGGGGGATATTTAAATCCCCCGCGGATTTGCAATTCCGACGCGTCTCATTAGCATCCCTTTTCCGGAAAGGAATGCCAATGTAGACACAGCCGGAGAGTGGGGCCTATGGGTTAGAGCATGATTGAAGTTGGGAGCCAGGGACTCCTGAGGTGCACTCATGTCTCTGCCACTGACACCGACTTGGCCTTTGGCACATCATTTCCCCCTCTGTGCCTCAGTTTCCCTGCCTGTAGAGTGGGAATAACAGGATTCCTCCACCTTTTGCAAAGCACCCTGAGGCCTTTGTGTTTTGCCAAGACAACGTATCGCCGAGCCTGGGCTACTTACCGGCTCAGAGGACCCTTGCCCATCCCCCTCCTGGACTAGGAGCCAGGGAGCAGGGCCAGGAAGGAACAGAGCCAGCAAGGCAGAAATCACCTCTCCAGCCCCTCCCCACCGCTGCCCCTGGGGTCCCTGCGCCCATCCCACCTGAAAGACATGGTGAACCACACGGCCATCATCATGAGAGTGACGCGCCGGTACTCGGGGGCAAAGCACTGCACGAAGTTGTTCCGGACCTGAAAGAGGGAAAGATGGAAGCATGAAGGGCCCCTCTGTGTGCCACGCCAGCTCTGCCGGGGGACGGGCACAGACGCAGAGGCAGCCGGGGACAAGGTGGGCATGGGGGGAAAGAGCCAAGAGAGACACGTCGGTCCTTCACTGGGGTGTCGTGCCAGCTCCCGGCCAGGCCAGGGAAAGATTCTGTTTGGGAGGAGCCATTCTCTGGCCAGAACCCAGCCCGACATAAGCTCATGCAGCTCCCAGGCCAGCTCAGGCCAGGGTGGGGTCGGCCCCTGTGCTCCTGGGTTTGTGGCACGGCCCCGGTCACCCAGCGGCCGCCCCCTACCTGCTGCGAGAGGTTCAGGATCCGAACCATCCAGCGTCGGTACCAGGTGCCGGTGTCCGACTGGATCTCAATCAGCTCGTCCTCCTGCTTGATGGTTTTGATGTGGGTCACCTGGGAGGCGGGAGAGGCGGCGCGGTTACGGGCAGCGTGGGGCAGAAGGGGGAGGGGATCACGCATGGGCACAGGGAGTAGGAGACTCAGCGGACACAGATGTCAGCGGGGCAGCCCCTCCAGCCTGCAGCCTCAGACCCACCAAAGTCCCCTCGTCAGGGGCCTCAGGGCCCGGGAACACCCTGCTCTCTGCCCCCGCGGACAGGTTGCCCCAGCAGTGCTGACCAGAGAGCCAGGGCCCCACTGTTGCTGGGAGGTGACCTCTCCTGGGTTCGGGCAGTACTTCTCCTGTCCCCAAATATCTCCCCTCAGCCCCCGCCCCCTCTCCCGTTGCCCACCCCCCATCCCGGGCTGGCTCATTAGAGAAACTAATCACACCAATCTGAACATCATGCCTTGGGGCTTTGCCTCCCCAGATCCGCTCCTCTTCCCCACCACATAAGAACACAGGAACAGCCAGCCTGGGTCGGACCAGAGGTCCATCTCGCTCCGTATCCTATTGGGCCAATATCAGATGCCCCCGAGGGAGGGAACAGAACAGGGAATCTTCCAGCAATCCCTCAACCCGTCATCCATTCCCAGCCTCTGACAGGCTAGGGACACCATTTCTACCCATCCTGGCTAATAGCCATTGATGGAACTAACCTCCATGAATGCATCTAGTTCTTTTTTGAACCCTGTGTAAGTTCTGGTCTTCACAACCTCCTCCGGCAAGGAGTTCCACAGGTTGACTGTGCTCTGCCTTGACTATGCTCTGCTTTGTGCCTTGCATTGGGAATGAATTCCCCCCTCAATTCCCTCTCCCCACCCTCCTCAACTCTAACACTGCAGGCTCTCCCAGCCTCCCCTTCACAGCCCAGGGCTGCCCTGGCCTGAGCTGCTGTCCCCTGCTTTGCCCCGTCCACTGCAGCCGGGCAACTCTAGCAGTGGGTGTCATATAAGAACCCATTCGCTGGGCCTGCAGGCCAGAGGGCTGGGATGGAAGTTTCCATCCTTGGCGTACACAGCCTAATACAGCCTTGAACCCTGCAAACACAAACCCCAGATGGCCCTTATCAGCCACTGGGAATGTAGTGAGGAATGAATCACGTCAACCTCAATTTCAGCTTCACGAGAATGCTAAGGGTGGCGTGGGGCAGTACGCGCACACGGTAAACAACTGTGATATAACTCGTGTGGGGAGTCCCGTCCCGGGTGAGTTTCACTAGGGACCTAGACCTGGGAGGGTGCCCTGGATTCCCCCAGCTGGAGCCATGTCGGCCGTAGCCCTTAAAGCGAGGATCAGGGACGGGACTCTCCGTGGTAGAAGGGACGTAAGCGTTCCAAGTGCCTTTTACTCTTATACACATTGCTCTGTAGCGCGTGCTGGTGTGCACGCTGTAATGGCTGTATAGCCACCATTCAGCACCATTAACTCTGTAGTAACGTAGTGAGACTAATAAACCAAACTATCCCCAATCGACTCTGTGTCGAAGTGAATCCACAATCCCATTTGTCCATGGCCCTGTGAGTGGAGAGCAGGGAGCGCACCCCGTCCTACGGCTTAGACGCTCTCCATTCAAGCCAATCCCATCCTAGATGTTGAGCACTGGCCGAGTGTGCCATGTCGCCCTCTAGCAACTGTCCCATATAGAGGATAATAGCCTATTACTGCGACCCAGTAAGGGAGTTACCCCTTTAGCTCAGGGGACAGGGGGCTGGGGCTGTGCTTTGGTGTGGAGGACGCCAGGTTCTCTTCCTACAGCTGGACTATGGTGCTGGGCTCGTTATACGCATGGGGCGACAGCAATTATTGCAAACAAAACTATCCCACTCCCTGCCCCCCTCGGCAGCCATGAGTGGATGTTAGACTCTCGACCACTCCCCGCCCCAGGGGAAGGGCAGCGGCCTAGCACAGACAGCACCAGGCTGGGATGCAGGAGGCTCACGTTCTCTTCCTGCTGGGTGACCTGGGGCAAGTCGCTCCCTTGCGCCGTGCCTCAGTTTCCCCAGCTGTAAAATGGGGATAGTGATATGGCGGGAACGAGCTAGGGATCACTGGCATGAGGGACAGGTGGGGAACTGAGGCACAAGCAGGAATAAAGCCCGGTCTCCTGACCCCCAGCACTTAGCCTTTGCCCGCCCCTCTAGCCTCGTGGTCTGGTCTCCCCCTGCCCTGGGCGGCCGCGCGACGCTTACCGAGAAGACCCTCTCGGGGTGGCCCTTGGCTCTCATGTTGGTGTCGTGAACCTGCTTCAGCACCATCCAGGCCTCGTCGTGCTTCCCGTTCTGCAAGACAAACATCCCAGGCTGCTGCAGACTGCGCCCCAGCCGCTGCTTCCCAGCCTGAGGGGGGCTCAGCCAAGCACGAGAGACA